GCTGGGAACGCTAGATCGATATGCATCCTCTCCCGGCACTGCCGCTGGCGTACGCTGGAAGCGCTACGCTACGCTGCCGCAAAGTATAAACGCAGCCTATATTTCATTTTCAACGATTTTTCTATCTGAATCGATATCCGCATTTTTCAAAAAATAAGGGAGACTGTCTAGAGGCCAAAAAATGCCTGCTATCCAGAAACTGTGGAACTCTTTCCAGTTTTGTTCGCGATGCCGTGTTCTTCCACTGTTGGCTCATCTTCTGTTTGATGCTGTTACAAAACTCTCATTTAACCTTATTGGCTATTGTAACTTGGCTACTGTAATTCCTTTCAGAATGAACTGCCACTGACTGTCGATCCCTTACTGGCATCAGGAAATCCGTCAGTTCCTGTGGCACGTCGCCATCTTGGGGATTCTTTGGATCATCGACTAACCGTCCGATGGAACAATTTTGTTGCAACGACGGATAGCAGATGTCTGATAGCTTGTGGTTATCCGGACTACAGTTTTCGAGTGATTGACACGGATGCTGGTACGAGTTGCATGGCCCACGGATTTCATAGCGCTCAAAGTTTGTGTTTAGCGAGAGTACGACAAGTGATCTACGGTCATGGTGACGTTGTGACGTGTATTGCGCGATCCGAGACGAGTCTGTTTGCTGATTGCTATGTGGTAACTGGAAGTAACGACTGCACTGTTGCTTTATGGCATTGGAATGGACAGGTAAGTATAAAGGTGTGAAGGAACAGTGGACTAGTATTGTTCTACTATGAGAGAATAGCTGTACAAGTAGGAGTAGCTTTCATTGGCAGATTTGAACAGCTAAGTCTTACATACACTTGTCTGACCTAAACTACTTTTAAGTTGAATCTGTTCTGGTATCCAATAAGAATCGGTCACCAAACTTGAAAGAGCTGTGTTAACATGAGTTTTCTGTGTAGGGAAATGGAGTTTTCTGTGTAGGGAAATGACTCAAAAAATCTGTACTTGGTTCTAGCAAGATTAAGCGCTGGGGGAAGTTGTGTACCAGAGCGTATATTATTGAAGAAGGGACTAGCCCAAGGCGATTGTGGCCAAGCCTGGAGGGTGTGTTACGTGAAAGGATGTTAGAAAAAGAGGGGAGCCGAAACGACTAATGTCCCATTAAGTCTAAACTTCGATCGATTTCATTTTCGGTTAGACGCAGCCGAGTTAACTGCTTCCTTCTCCTTAGTCAGGAGCAAATCACGTCCAAAAGGAAAGTGGCAAAAATTAGTTGAAGATGGCACCGAGTTTTAGAAAATGGACCTTGGAAGACTAGAGATTACTTGAAGCCGTTGCAAATTTCTGATCCATATTCTATTAGATAAGATGAGAACTTGGAGTCCCGGCTTTCCTCGTCCTTCCCCCTCTGGGGGCGGTGCCACGCGGCGAAGCACAGATCAACGGCAAAACCGCGGGGCGGCGCCCCCGGCCCGCGCGGGCACACCACACCCTCCAGGCCGATCCAGCCTCACAGTTTGCGTTTGCACACTGGTAATTCGGGTTTACTTGGAGACATAAGTGGTTGAGAAAATCTATCCATGCTTGCTTACGCGTACTAGACCGGCTCCGCCTCATATAAATGTCTAGACAGGGAGCTATAGTTGGGGACAAATGCGCAAAGAACAGAGTGATACCTAGTGGCTGGAAATGCGCGTGGAGGAGAAGCTCCGTCCGTGATCCAATGGTGTGAGAGAATCAATTTCGGGGTCTCTTTAGATTTCGCGCTGGGGTAGCATGGCGTTGCAATCAGGAATGCTCCGACAGGTACGGCTGCACTAACTTGTACCCATACTATTCATCGCACGCATCACGGCCGCGCTCATACTCTCCCCTTCGCCTGTCACACTAATTCTCCTCTCAACATGACTCGAGTTAAAGCGGTAATACGGCGTCCCCTCTTGTGGCGGGCTGGCGTGCTTTGGGTCGCAATGTTGTGGCCTTGATAACGCCCTTATAAGGGCACCTCCTCGCAGCGCCTGCTCAGGGTCGCGGAATTCCGTCCTGCCAGGCGTATTAATCCTACTCGTTTTGGGGATTTATCGTGCCAACTGCCCTTAATAGGGGTGCATTCTCACTTACGACCGACGAACCCGTGCTAGATCAAAAGCTGTAGAGTCTTGCTAACTTCTTTGTCTTCGAAGTGCTCATTACATTGTAGTGGAAGTAATGAGTGTGTTGCAGCAAGGTTTCGTTGCCGGTGAGTACAACACGCTTGGAGAGACGCCATCACCTCGAGCGATTCTCACTGGTCATGAAGCTGCTATTTCTGCGCTAGCTGTCTCCGCTGAGCATGGACTCGTTCTCAGTGGTTGCGAAGGTATGGACATTTCTTTTACGTGACAGGTACTTTACGCAGTGAATAGTCCAGCAATTTTTTATGCGACTTCTAACTTTTGTTTCACCCGCTTGATAAGAATGGGAATTACTGCGGTAATGGGCATCAAGAATGTTCTAGTAGAGGCTTTGAAATATGACATGGCAAATTTTTGGTCAGGGCCAGATTTTCTGAAGGGCACAGTCTAGGAAGTGGAGCGCTCACAATGTTCAGCTGCGTAGTAACCCCACATGACTAAGGCAGCGGAAAGTGCGAATAATTTGAGACTGTGCCACTGCAAGGGGCCAAGAACTACTGGAGAGAATTCTCTCTAATAGTTCTAGGCCCCTTGCAGTGGCGCAGTCCTGGTTTCATCAAGTGAAGAAACATTCAGACCTATAGCTCATGCTCGCTGCGTCCTGTTGTGACGTAATCCCAGAGCTTAAAGGCCTGGTATGTTATAGGAAGGGTAGGTAGTAGTGTTGAAATATGGAAGAAAAATAGCCAGGGGATTCGTCTGTGAAGAGAAAATGCAGAAGAGACTGTCGGAAAGGTCTGTAGGGCGCTCTAGCCTCAAGCACTGTACGAGTACAAGGTAAAAAAAACGCGCGTTGGGGCGAATCCGCTTAGCTGATTCTTTGTAATGAACCCTGAGATCCGGCCAGTGACAATGGAGCTGCCATTCCATGCTACTCGTTCGGTGGTACCGTTTCTCACTGGAAACTAGACTTCGAAGGTGGTATATGGAGGCTGACTCGGTGCAGAATTAGGTGCCAGTGGCTCCGTAGTGCCTCACCGCCTCCACTATACGACTTTCCATCAGAAGATGTCCATTGCCGGCCACACTACCCTAGTCATACAACCTATTTGCCTTTGATCGCGTATCGTTCTTTAACGGGCTCTGTTATAAGTAATTTCACAGCTGTTTTCTGTGACCGTCTTTGATAAGCCTTTTGCAACACTTTTTCTCCTAAAACATATTAATGATATTGTTTTTGTTTTCTTAATTTTTAGCACTAATTTTCTCGATGCTGCTCAAGAACTTCAGTGCTGCACTGAGAAATAAAGGCCACCGTCTTCCACCTCCGCCCGCCCGAGCAGCGGCCTACACCTTTCTGCTTCAGCTATCTTTTGAAAACCTCTTCTTTAGATGGCACCATACTCATGACGATCACTGATCGTCTGATGCGAAGCTTCTTGCGACGATGGTAGTCGACAACGACGGCTTTTCGCAAACTGCTCGATGAGCTCGAGAGTGTGTTGTGATGCGCATTTACGGTCACCACAGTTCTCGTCACCGTTAAACGACGTTTACGCTAATCAGCTCGACGAGGCTGTTGCCGATGACAAGTGCGTTCTTTATATGTTCGTTTCACGCTACAAGGATATTTATGGATCTTCTTCTCAGGGTAGAGGGTGCGGCGATGTTTGACAGAGAGATGGTGACGTTACCGCCCTGCATCACAGGCCATCGGAAAATGGCACGCTGTACGAGTGTTGGCGCTTGTGTCCACTGCAGAGTTATATGTCTATCCAGGTTTCGCCATCAGTTCGAACTTAAACTTTTCCCTTTGCTCTCGCGACGTTACACGGAAGACCTATTCACCCTTCACTGCTCACGTTATATCTAAAAGCAATAGTGCTGGATTTTTCTCGAGAGCCAGAAAATCCAACAGTTAGAGCTAAAAAATTAGTTCTATCCCTTGCCGAACGATTATCGAGTCCATTGGCCAGCAAAATTAACGTGGGGACCGCCGCTGGACAGACGTACTGTCGGTAAGACGATGAGGACCAGCGAAATCACTGAAAAGTGCCTTGGGCGGGTAAACCTTCTGGACATGAATAACAAACAACTTTTCACGCGAAAGCATTTGACCCTGACACCACCTTCTCAAACTAACACAGTCGTCAAGGAGACCGGTTGGTGGATGACTGTGGCGATTCTGTCATCCCTTTCTCAAGTCACAGCTTATACCTTCTCCACCATACATGATCCCTTCAACCACCCCGGCCACATCTCCGCCTCGCCGACCCCGCACCCCTTTCCATACCTACTCCCACATACCAGCCTTCCAAACAGTTGCCCGACCATCTCCTCGCCCTGCCCCCGCCATCCGGCTTGACCTACTGAAGAATATCAAAGTTCGAAAAACCGCCCGCAATAAGACCCTCTTTATTGCAATGGATCGTGATCACCGGACGAGCATAAGACGGTCAAGATCGATTGTGAATTGCAAAGGACGACGATACACTGGGATGAGAGGAGAGAGACCAGAAAACGGCGGGCGAGAGAGCACAATGGCATCGTCACGATGACACGGGTATCGGAGGTCGGCATGGGCCTATTGGGCGCCAATGGGCCTAAAACCTTTGCGTTTTGCGCTCTACTTGCTAGTTTTCGACTTTTGCAGCCAGTACAGCGTCTGCGGGTACCTGCCTGTTCGTCGTGCACATTTGAGAGCACTTAGCCTTATTTTATCGCGGACCGTGCCTTTAAGTTTTTGTTTCATCAGGGAATGGTGGGAGGTCGAAATGGTCGTAAATAGAAAGGATGCCGATAAGTGTGTCTGGGGATAGTGATTCCAAATCCCTCTTTCGTATCTGCTGCGGACTTCTCTAAACACAGTTTCTAGACAAAGTCAACAGACAAAGTTTCTAGGCAAAGAAGTTTTTCAGTGGGAGCTTTTCCGCATCCAGTACGAATTCCGGGCACGTCCGAAGTTTGTTTTAAGTGCAGGGGTGCACCTATCTATGAACCTCCATAACTTCCCTCAGAGAGGTCTGCAGCAGATTTGGAAGACGATCATCGCCCAGTCAGTGCCCAACGAGCAGATTGCTAACGTCTTATTTGAAACAGTCACTGCGACCTAACATCCTCCCCTTGTAAGAGTTTTGATCCCACACTTGTAATAGGCCTCCGCAACATTTTCGTCTCCGCGGACCTGACATTCAGGGCATTCAGGGGTTCATATAACCCATAAGAATTTGAAAGGTTCTCACAACCCTTACAAATAAATTTCAAGCGTGCCAAGACTTTGAGCAAGCTTCGAAAAGTGGGGCAGTAAAGTGTAACTGGTGACTCGAGAAAAAAAGGAGCTTTAATGTTGACTGAATGAGACCACCTTACTCAAAGATAAAATAGTTTCGACGTGCATGATATCCTGTTTACCTCCGTGTTGTGTGGGCTGCGTTCATACTTCGTGGCAGTGTCCAATAGCGTTTCGAGTGTACGGCAACGTCAGCGACAGACAAAGTATAGATATAGATAGTTTCTGCCAGCGTGTGGCAGAAGAGAGTATGGATAGGTACGGGTATCAGGCAGTTGAGAGAGTACGGGTAGATAGGGTGGTAACAGACTGTTGGTAGAGAGTATGGCGCGATAAGAGGGCAGCAGACAGCTGGTAGAGTATGGGGAGCTAGGAGGGTAGCAGAGTGCTGGTAGGTGTCTGGTACCCTGCTATAGCGCTGTACTCTTCTCTCCCGGACAGTAAACTCTGGTGCACTTGGTAAACGCTGGTGAACGCTGTGAGACGCTGGGCAGACGCCAGATCGATATCTATACTTTCCCAGTCGCTGCCGCTGCCGTACGCTCGAAACGCTGGTAGGACGCTGCCCCAGGCCCCA